ATATATATTAATAGAATATATAGAACTAGAATAAGAGATATGTATCATATTTTCTACCAGCAATATTCTCCTCTTTTCTCTTCTGGCCGTTCGGCGACGTCTCGTTCGACGTCCATCGTCGTGTACTCGTTTTTTTCCTACCATTTCTAATCGCATCGTTCATTAAAATGAATATATGTACGAAATATCGTATACGATGAGAGAGAGAGAGAGAGAGAGAATGAATGAGAATGAATGAGAATGAATGAGAATAAATGAGAATGAACGAGAGAGAAAAAGTGCGCGTACACGATCGCTAGAGATGGCGTTGGTTTAAGCTAAGAAGAAGCGAAATCCCAATTGCGTATCGATTAAAAAAAGAACGAGAAAGAGAGGAAAGAAAAAGAAAAGAAAAAAAAGCGAAAGAAGAAGAAGAAGAAGAAGGAAAAGAAAAAATGGAACGGGAGGAGAAGAAACAAGAACAGTATTTATCGCGCATATCTTGCATCCCTTCCCCCACAGTCGATCCTGCGAACGTAGTTCACATAGACGAAAGAATCCCTTTCGGTGTACCGAGAAGAGTTTTGTGTGTTCGTATGCGAGAGTGGGAAATTATTGTGGAAGTAGATTGGTCGTTGATTGTTAACCCCGGATCCTTCTCTTTCTTTTATGGTATTATAAAAACCTTGTGCCTTCTTTGTCACGCGAGAAAAAGAGGAAAGGAGAGAACTTCAAGGGTACTCATTACAATAAAGTACGTTTTATCAGCATATTATTTCGTTTACTTTATTACTGTGACGTCGTTATTAATGTTATTACCATTATCGTCGATGATTTTTTTTCCCTTCGTTATTATTATTAATATTATTATTATTAATATTATTATTATTAATATTATTATTATTATTATTATTACTATTATTATCTTTACTATTACTTATCTTTACCATTGTAATTATTATAATTATAATTATCGTTCTCATCTGCGACTCGGTTACACGCGCACCTTTCCTCCTCCCTTCCTCTTCCCCATTTTCGTTCGAGTACCGCACCGCCATCCGTTTCCTCTTTTCGATCGTCATCGATCGAACAATCTGTGAAACGCGCGTATTGCGTTTTTCTACGCTTCGCCCCTGTTTCCAAGGGCTTTAAATCGAAAATTCGAAAAGTCGACTAATCGCGACCGATCTGACGTTCAAACGAAGGGAGAACGACGGAATCGAAATTCGTTACGCGAAAGAGGTTCCTCGAACTTCTTCTCGTCGTATTTTAATAAGTTACCCTCTCGCTTGTAACCGTGCCGTGATAAGAGGCTTCTGAAATCCCGGATCGATCGATCGATCAAACTTCAACCACGCGCAACTTTGCAGATACTTGCCAGGGAACCAGTTTCTCGCGTCCCTAGTTTTTCACGATTCTTGGACAAAGTTCAGTATCGGTATCTCGAGCTTTCTTCGAGTTTCGTCTCGAAATGCGTGAAATCCGATCGACAGAAAGGAGAGGCCGATTTGTTTTTATTATATTTCTCTTCTCTCCCCTCCCCCCTTTTTTTCTTCTTTATCGAGTATCAAGCAAGAGTATTTGTTCTTTTTTTTATTTTTTAATCGCGTAGCTTGATACGAAACTCTTCTTCTTAAAGAGTTGCTCAATTGCGTTGCCACGATCGAGATTTTTGGATTTGTATAAAAATGAGTTTTTTTTTTTTTTTTTAAATAACAATTTTCACGATAAGTTCGTAAATGCAAAAAGATAGGAACGTCGTTCTCCTTTCTTTCTTTCTTGTTTTTTTTTTTTTTTTTTTCACACGATATAACATCATATAACATATTTACGCATACGAGCATGCAAAGCGAAAGAGAGATGGTTACGAAAGCTTTGTATAAATTACCGATAAAAACCGTAATCGTGAAGTTTTTTTTTTCTTTTTAAATCGTAAGCACTGTAATGTACATATTTTGCCATGGCAACGAATCGTCGTGGTAACTTTCGAATATATATTACAATATACAATGTGTATATTAATCGAGAGAGTATAATTCGTTTGTTGTTTCATTTTTCAATTTTACCAACAACAATTAACCAATTGAACGAAATATCGAAGAGCCGAAAGATACGAATCAGGTAATTCAATCTTCCACAGAGAAGAAACAACATCGATTCACTCTTGTGTGTAATTTGCATGCATCCTCCGCGTGGATCATCGTCTTTCGAGTCTTTTTTTCTCTATCTCTATCTCTCTCTCTCTCTTTCTCTATCATTCGCTTTTCAATCATACACCGCGATACACGATGAAACGACACGCGATAGATCTTCCAATCGATTTCGCGGTTACATTTTTCTGCCGTTTAAAATTTTCAAGCGACCGCGTTGAACCGTTGTTTACAATCCTTTTCCAAATCGTTGTCGAAGTCGATCGTTGGGTGAAAATGCATCGCGATTACACGCGAGAAGAAAATCTACGGACGATTAGGCGTGGAGAGATCGAGATACAGGGAAGGAAGGAACGAACGAACGAGGAAGAGGCGAACGAGACGAACGGGTTTTTCGGTATCCTTTTTCCCGGTGGATAGCCGTTTTTATTCACAGGCTCGGCTCGAATAGCCGCCGCGAAATGTCCTAATAAATATAACGCTCGCCACGGACGAGTGGAGACATTAATTCGCGCCAATAAATATTCCCATCGTTCCGGCACATAAACCTGGCGTTTGTCATATACACGCAGTCATTTCGGTTAAAAGGCATTCTCTCTGCCACTGAATGCAAATGCGAGTGCTCGTTGTGCGTGCCGTAGGGTTTCTAAAGTGCTTTCAATTACGTGTTCCACCTAACGTCCTGGCCTGGAGGGCCATTTTCCTATGTTTTGCATAACCGGGATTTTCAAGTGTTTCACGCCCCACGAGGACGCGCGACGCGACGCGCCACGCCACGCCACGCCACGCCGGTCCGCCAGCTATACGCTTCTTTATCCTGATTCTTTCTCTCTCTCTCTCTCTCTCTCTTTCCGTCTCTCTAACGAGCCTTCCTCCAGCTTTCTTGCTGCTTTTCCCTTTCTTCCTTTCTTTTCTTCCTCTATTCCCTTGTTTTGTTTTCTCTTCTCTGTTATCGACCGACAACCCTCCAAAGTGCGCGCGCCAATTGCGGGCCTCGCCTGGGTCCCGCGAGGGCGAAACAATTACCCGCGAGGGAAAAAGAAAAAAAAAAAAAAAAAAAAGAATATCAATTTCGAGTATTTTCGACTCGATCGACGCGCTTTGGAGGGGGGGGGGGAGGGGGATAAAGTTCCAAACTTTCGAGATTCTTTTCTTTTCATTTGTCCTATTTCACCGTTCCGTGTGGACTCCTCCAATCTATCTTTGCATGGATTTCGCATTCTTGGATTTCACAGTTGCCTGCGCAAACGAATCCGCACGATTATTAATTTTCGCTCGCACGAATCCGTTCTTCTGTTCTGTCGCATCGCCGCTATTACTTGGCTAAAGCGAGCGCTAACGAGTATGCGCTCGATAAGGAGCACTTGTTTGTTGTTAATGGTAATGGAAACAATGGGGGAAACAACCGCGACTCGAGACACACGCGAGAGATATTCAAATTATGCCCTAGCGGTGTTCGAATAGCCGCTCGACGATCCGCCTCGCGATAGACGGATCGTTCGATCACCGAGGCGGAAAAGAAAAATTAGAGAAATGCGGCCGGTTTTTGTCGACGCGGATCAATCTTGATGAAACACGAGCTGCTGCTCGAGAGATAGGTATCGACCGACCATGTTACACGCTACGATAACGCGGAAATATGTCATTCGGAATCAACCATCGTTCCCTACTATCGTTAATCGTAATATATATATATATATATAATATATCCTGATGTATCAACCTTCGACAAATTAATTATCTCGTATTGTAATCAAGTTCAACTGCCCCGATCGAATAAAACTTTTTAATCGATAAGAAAAGAAAAAGAAAAATCACCGATTAAGTATTCGTCTCGTTCCTAGTGTGTATCTACGTTTCTCGAGACAACTTGGAATCGAATCGAAGTTGCAAAAAAGAAAAAGAAAAAGAAGGAAAAGAAATCCGTGCAAAATCGATCGCGATTGGGACCGATCGATTTTTTTCGATTCGAGGAAGGAGGCTCCCGTTTCGATCAATAAATAAATCACGCGTGTTCTTTTTCAACCGACCGATTAACGGTCAGAAACAGTTGTCAAGTTATAACTCTTTCCCCAGCTTAATCCTAGGAATCGGCGCTGGAATTTCGTTTCCATTTCGCTCCACGTTTTTCCACGCGGAAAGCAACTCGCTCGGTGTCCCGGCCGGTCAAACCGCCATAACGCCCACACGGTGTCTCGCACCTGACTCTATTCCTCGACTGATTTACGCTCGGCTCGGCCGTGCTCGCAGGGAGGGAGTGTACGTTTGCGTACATACATAAGCGAGGAATTTTCTCGGTTCGCGGGAAACGAGAGAAACGCGGGTGGCAAAGGGAAACGGGCATTGATAAAGCTATCTCGTGAATAGAGCCGGCTCTTGCCAACCCGTGATTTAATTAATTGCCGGCCGGCAAGCAACGATCCGACGCGTGATTAATCTCAACGCGCGCCAAGGTCGTGGGCCTTCTCTCCTTACAGCAATCGAAAAACTCTATTTAATTGAAACGTCGTACTCCAACTCTCCTTTCTTTCGAATTTTAACCCCCGGCCCACGGAATGCCAGCCTTCTCCTAACTAATTCCCAACGCGAACCACCTTCGTGTAAATTTTGTTATTTTACGAGGGATTTTATTATACGACTCGCTATTTGATCTTAGATTCAAAAGCTCGGTCGGAATAATAATTTTCTCGGATCGGTAGTCGGCTACGTTTTCCTGGCGCCACGATTAATTTACAATTCCACGGATTCTTATATTTATGCCTCTATATATATATATATATATATATAGTCGATCGAGCAATGGAAATTAATCTTAGCAAGAAGAAAGCATCAATCT